CCCAGCGCTGGAGGTTTCGGCGCTGCCGGGCAGCGAGTCTTGCTCCAGAAGAGGCCGCGGGAGCAGGGGTGAAGAGGGGAGGAGGCCTGTGTGCTTGGGAGCCGGGGGGGGCAAAGGGCACCATTTGTGGTCAGAGGACGGGGGTGAATGCAAAAGGGGTGGAGAAAGATGGCCCTAGATCCAGCCACAGGCATCCCTCTGAGCTGAACCTGCTCTCTAGGTCAGCAGGTTTCAGCTCGGTTTTATTCCTGTGGCCAGGCAGACCCCGACAGCGAACTTGAGCCTTTGAGGAGTTCGGCTTGCCCGTCCGTTTTGCAGAGAGCTGGAGAGCTCAGCACACCTGTACGGCAGTACACTCAGCACACCTGTATGGCGGTACACTCAGCACACCTGTACGGCACCCTTGGACCTGGGAGGTCCGGACTGGTTGCCCCTAACAGTTAACGCACTGGGATGATTTTTCCCTAAAACCAGCTGGCTGCAACCCTCCCCCCTTCAGAAGCAGCCTAGTTCCTCCCGTTTATCTGCGCGGGGGATCTGCGGCACGGACAGACTGAAGGTCCGGTAATAGGAGCCATCTCGGGCCCGAGCTGCCGGGATGCAATCTGCAGGAGAGCATCGCGCTGACGTACAAGAGCGCAAACAGAGCACGGGGATTTCTCTAGTGGAGGATCCTTTTGGCGTAAGCAGAGAGAGGCTGAGAAATGCTAAAGATGGGAAGCGACTCCACCATAACTGCAGGGGGAAGGAGGTGGGAGAAATTCTTGGGAACTGCTTCATACAGTAAAAATTATTTCCAGTTTATGTTCCAGCCTGTTTGTCTTGTACCGGTGCAAGGAAAACGTATTTCTGGTAACAAGGAAATCACTTCGCTGCTAAATGCAATGGGAGTTCTCCAAAAACATAATCAGAGAGAGGCCCTGAAGCCCTTCAAAAACCATTCCTGGGTACACAAAAGATTGTTTCCTATCCCAGAGGAAGTGCAGCTCCCCCTGCATGGACACAAAGCAGCCCAGGATGCTACCACGAAGTGAATGAATTCTTGGAAGGACACTGCAGCCAACTGAAACAGCTCGAGGAAGTCACCCCGCGGTGGCTCAGGGACAGGTGCCACCTCCCGCGCGTCCATGGGAGCACGGACCTTCCGTCAAGATCTCCGGCGCAGGGACTGGTAGCGGAGGAGATCTCGTGACAAGAGACGAGAACGGCTGTATTTATTCCGATCGCCTGTCTCTCACCCCTAAAGCTCACCCTGCAGCTTCAGACTTAATTTTTTTACGCTCTCTTACAAGTTCTTTCACCACAAAACAGTGAACTAACCCCGAACTACCCGGAAAATCATCCTTGCATGTAGTTAAGTTATGAAAGACAATTCTTTTTCACGCTGTCCTCTAGATTTGGGAGGAAAGACATGCTGACATTCAGCATGGAAGGGAAGAGAAACAATTCTGCCCTTACAGCCCTGCTGGTTTCGGCATTACTTACAGTAACTGCAGCTCCCATCAGGCCCTGGACAAGTGCTTCTCCGGTTGACTGTACCTAGGAGACACAGGGAGAACATGACCTTTTGCTTTCTTCTGGAGTCACACTTGTGGCCACCCAAACGCAGAGAGGTAACACACAACAAACATGTATTTGCTGCAGAAAGGTACTGACAGAAGCCAAGCGCTGCAGACAAACGATAGCCAGAGAGGAGAAACACGGAAGAGATTTCCTGGGAATGTACGTCTCCTAACCATCGGGCCAGTCTGACGGAGAGGGCGCCTGCATGTCATTTTACTGGAAAATACGTAAGCGTTTACTGATGTCGAGCCGACAGCATTTATGCCATCACCCGCCAGTACACGGTGGTCCCTCAGCAGACGCGTGGTCTGCACGATCGAAAAGCCAGGTCTGTCCGCATATGTATTGGGGGAGGAGGGGGACGCTGCACGTACGCCTTGCTCGTAACGTTACCTGGTTAGCTGTATTGCCCATGTTCATGGCATCAGCCACTCTGTTTTCCAGGAAGCGCCAAGTGTCCTCGAAGTCAGGGGATGAATCCTGCATCATCACCAGTTCGCTGGTGTTGTAGATGCCAGTGAGCACAGCCCGGCGAGTGTACCAGTTAAACTGCAGGGGCACGAAAGGAGAGAGAGGGAGAAAGGTGTGACCTGAATGCAGATCAAGAACGCAGCTCACGAAAGCAGACCCGAGAGCGGCAAAGGAAAATAGCATACCGACAGCACATTCCTTCCCCACTTAAACTGTATAACTTGTCTCTGTGATGCAGTGGGCCCCCAGCCAACACCGACATCTGACAGCACAGCTGCTCCCGTGGCACCAGACAGAGGTCACAAGCGCGGTGTGTGAAACTGCTGAGCAAAATCCCCACCACCTGCTCCTGGTTGCAAGCAGGCACCTGCAGCAGGCAGCAAGGAATCCTCCCTTGCCCAGCTAGCCTGCCTGCATGGTGCAAGAGTTCATCTTTGCTTTACAGACCGCTAGCAGGCAATGCAAAGCTCTGATTCTAGATCTGGTTAGATGAGAAACGGCTGCATTTAGTATTGAACTTGAGCTGCAGTTCGCTCCAGATACAAGCACGAAGAAAGGGAACGGAGGACAGAACTGTGCAAGACAGCACACAGAGACACACCTTTCCCAAATCCTATCACTGAAATACCAGTGCTGCCTGCTGAATCACTAAGTGCATCAGTACGCTGCAGGCAGCAGTGCTGTAGGATGCGTTACAACAGTAGGTTACACAGTGCAAAGGTGCACAAATAACTCAAACTCTTCAGTTTTTCCAGTTGCACTTGCACCACTGGCAGACGAAATACATAAACATTTTTAAAAACGAGTCTTCCACTTCATTTGCTGCTACTGCAGTGACTAAACTATTTGAGTACCTGGAAAAAAATACTGGTTGTTCCATTCACAATTACAAAGCAACAGAGAAATTAAAACACTGGCCTTGATTTTTAAAGCAACAGTTGGCTCGAAAGCTCTACTGTCTGCACCACGACCTGCAAACTTTGACAAGGGGAGAAACGAGGGATGTTGCCGCTTGCAGCCGGATCTCTCAGGTGCCCCAGACCAAACTGTTTCTGTTGATTCTCCTCCTGCTCCGAAAAAACCACCTGCAGGGGTCTCTGAGGCATGGGTGTACTCTACCTAGCTCCTGGTGTTGTGAAGAGGGCTCCGCTGCCAGTGACGTTAAACCCCTTCACTGGGAAGGAGGGAGGGGGCTCAGCATCACAGCTTCCCGAGAAAACTCTTGTAACCGGTCAGATGCAGGGGTCCTGAGGCATGGGTGTACTCTACCTAGCTCCTGGTGTTGTGAAGAGGGCTCCGCTGCCAGTGACGTTAAACCCCTTCACTGGGAAGGAGGGAGGGGGCTCAGCATCACAGCTTCCCGAGAAAACTCTTGTAACCGGTCAGAAGGTGCAAACAAAAGACAAACTTCAGAACCTCTCCTACTCTGTGCGTCGGTGAGGAGACTTTAGGAACAGCTCAGTGCAGACACTGACTCCGACGTGTTGATTTGACTTTCATAACCCGCAAGGGACTTGCAGTTCCTGATGCAATCGCAGTCTTTCAGTTCTCTTCTGGTTTATTCCTTTCATTTTTCTGTCATCTCATTTATTTTTCACTGCAGTAGCTTCTCTTTTATACTCAGATAAAAGAAGCTTATTAAAGTAGTTTGTTAAAATGGTTCATTTAGCTTTTCCCACCTCTCCCTACATCTATATGAATTAAAGTAATTTATTAATTGCTTTAATCAAGGTTATAATTTTCTTTTATTTCCTGCCAGAAAGATGAAAGCTTTAATAAGCTACTGGTATTTTTAGGTAGGTTCTTTAAAGGTTTTCAAGTCAAATCTGTAAATGCTACTGCTGGTGGAAGAGACAGCTGCTTCGACAGAGACGCTGCTCGCTCACTGAATACTGGATCAACTTCTTAGTCTCAAAATCTCAACAATTTTGTCTGTGTCTTCAAAAAAAGAAAGAGTACTTAAAAGAGTCTAGGAAAGTAGGTCCTTTTAATTTGCACTAATCCCATTGGCGCTAATTTGCATTTAGTCCCATTGGCTCCTAAGTCTCTTCGGAAATTAGACTATCGCTTATAAAGACCCTCGGGTGCTTCGGAAAATGTCTTCCTCATTCAACAAAAGGATCATTTCAAGAGAGACGTGGCCCGACGCCTACTTCAACCCGTCATTTTGCTGAAGTGCCGAGGGACAGAACCAGCCGGTCTGCGAAGCACAAAGACTTACATCTGTGGACTGGTCTCCAGCATAGTGCCATATATCATCGATCATGCTGGTGAGGAGGTTGAGGCTGGAAGGGATGTTATGTGGGAGCAACAGGATGCTCAGAGCCTGCGAAGGAAACACACAGATAAACGGGAGAGTCGAAGAGAGAAGGACATAGCCTTAAAGCAGACCAACGATGCTCTGCTCTGTTATCTTTTCCCTGTTGCTGTTGACTTGGCTCCAGCTCCCAGTGACAAGTCCTCCCAGATCTTTTCAGCTAGCACCGGTCTTTCCAAGCGGCAGGATTTGCGGGGAATGTACAGTGTGGCAGCCGAGCTCAGGCCTCGGGCTGTACTGGAGCCCAAAGCTCCCCGCTCAGCTCAAACGCTACTGTGCTGTCTCTCCCGAGCTGCCTCTCCAGGCAGGGACACACAGCACAGGCTGAGCTGACTCACACTTGTGCTGTGCCCCTACAGGCAGGGAGTCAAATCTCTCGTTTCTCTGAATTTGACTTTGAACTCAAAGCAGCTACCGAGGGCAGAACAGCCAGCCATAATGGCCCTACTGGGATCCTGCAGCCTTTGAGCGTAGTAACACAATGCCGGAAGAGTCACAAACCACCCGGATCCTTCACAAGACAAGTCATGCTAATCTGGAGCAAAAACACGAATCCTGTCTTCTCTCTCTGCAAGGAGCGCTGGATTCAGCCGCCCAGAGGCCAGCAGTGACTCTGGACAACAGAGGCTGACTTTGCAGCAATCTTTGCAGCCCAAGGTTGGGAACTCTTTGCTTGTTACTGAGGCCACAATTCAATTCCCTTCTCACCCTGGGAAGAAAGGCTTGAGACTTAAATCTGAATTTTGAAGCACGGAGTCCTCTCAGTTCACAGATCTATCCTCAGGTTGCCAAGGGTTTGTCATTCGCACGCTAGGCAGGCAGTTTCTTGCAACAAAGCAGTAGTTCTGCGTTTCCAGGCATCAGATGATACCGGTGCAACCAGAACAATGCTGCAAGGAGCCCGACTTGCAGCAACACTGCAAATAGGACTGAGCAGAGACACAGCTTATCCCCTGGGGATCCCAGATGGGTGGAGTGAACGACGGAGAGGTTTGCCTTTCCAGAACTGCAAGAAATAGTTGTTCTAAGGACACCTTTAACTGCCTTCTTCCAAGGGTGCTCTTTTCTTGAAGGGTATGAATCATCTGAAACCAGTGAGGGTTTCATTTACAACCTTGAACTACTCCAGTGGAGAGACTACGCTGAAGGCCACAGAGCGTTTAAAATACACACAAAAAAAGAGACAATCTTGATATTCATTTTATACCTGGGGCCATTTCTCAATATATGGAATCAGCATCCTCAGTCTGGCTTCCACAGCATCTCTCAGGAATTGATCTGTAGGCTTCTTCCTGAGTGAGGAAAACAAAATGCAAATATGAAGAACATCCAAGTTAAACTCAATTCTGAACTTGAAAGATCGATCTCTTGCCTGCCTCAGCAATAGATACACAAAGTATTATGTATCCTTCATGCCTCTGGTCCAACTCTGTATCTGGGAAGGTGGTTTTATTTGGGTAAATTACATTTTTTCCTTAAAGTATTTGTATCCCAGGTGGCCTCTCTGTCTATCCAGTCCCCAAAGCCCGCCAAGGAAGATGTCTTTTCATACCCGGTACTCACTCTGCTTCGCCCAACTGCACTAATTTTTGTTCCTGCTCCAGCAGCTCTGACAGCTTGGTGTTGCACTGAGACACAAAGTGCAGGATCAGCTCGCTGCCATCACTGTGAAACATCCCTGCGGCAGCAACAGAGAGACCCAGGGTCTGTAGGGAAGAAGGGAGAAGCACAGACTGGGTCATACACTGCTAAGCAGGATCCAGCTAGAAAATACGTTGTATTTATTTTGTGAACGAAGTTATATGAATTTAAACAAAGCAACGCTGCATTAAAAGGCTCTTTCTGTACATGTGTTTCTCTCTTTAGGATCACTACTCTACGTCATGCCTTAGTTTAACTCTGACAGGGTTATCCTGGAGCAGCTGGGATGCATTCCTGCCCGGTACCATTTGCTGACTAGGGTGCATCGCCCAAGAGTATGTGGGGGAAGCATGCAGGCCTGGCTGTCTTTGGACTTCAGCTCCATCCAGTTTTCAACTGGTTCTTTGCTTCTCTCCCCACATACCTTGGCTCCCTCTGCAATGGCTTCTGCAGTCCAGCCATGTTCAGGCACAAACTCCAGCGCTGCTGTGAGGATTCGATGCTGCAGCTGCTCCTCGCTCTCATAGTCCTCAGACTCCTGGCCGCCCTGGCCAGTGTAACTATGAGAAGGTATTGTTACAGTGAGGGGAACGTCACCACCAAACATCAGCAACCTGGACTCTGCCACTCGCTCGCTGCCACCGCTGCGTGCAGGCACGCTTTGAGATCTGCTTACTTAGTTTAAATCTCACCTCCTCCTGTAAAATCCTTCCCTGTCCAGAAAAAAGATTCTTAACGAACCTCTGCCATGAGAGGAGAAGAGAAAAATAAGGGAGGGTTCAGTCTAGGTGCCTACCTGGAGACCAATCAGCCTCAGCTTCCCCCTCCTTTAAAAAAAGCTAAACTATAAGCTTTTCCAATGGGAGCCTTATAGTTATAAGCACGTGGACAACATATTGTCCGTATTTTGTGTAGATTTACACAAAAATCCAGAAGCGAAGGCTTGCGCTTTGCAGACCAGAGAGGTTCCCTCTTGAAAGCAAGTCCCATCCTGTCTCCACAGCAGACAGTGGAATTTGCACTGTCACAGCAAACCAGCTCTCCAGCTGCTGCAGTCTGAGGCTCCATTAACTCTGGATCTCGTTGTCTCCGAGTTTCAGATGCAAGTTTCAGGAAAGCAAAGCCTTCTGATCCCGCTGTCGGCAGGACAGCGCTAGAAATAGCTAGTGAGTTACCTGGGGCGAGGGCCCTGAGGTTCCTCTTCAGGCTGGTGATCGGTCGGATGTGAATCGAACTGCTGCTGAGAGGAAGATGCCAACGGCTCCTTCTTCTGCTCATCAGAGACCCTCCTCAGCACGGCCGAGGCCTGGAGAGGACGCTGTGGTGGGGAGAGCTGGCACCTGACCACTAAAAGAGAAACCAAAAGAGTCAGATGTCTCTTTCCAACAAGAGGAAGCACAGAAAATTAAGGTGAAGAAGAGAGTTGTGGTAAACACAGCTGGAAAGAACAGAAATTTGTAGAGACGGTCTTTTTTTTTTTTTACACTTCCGAGAAGCGCCCCTCTCAGCTGAGCTCACATTTACTTGATGAAAATAAAGTGAAAATGTTTTGCGAGGAAAAGAACCACACATATGGCACGTATTGCAAACAGAAAGGAGTTTCCCGCTCTTGCACTGGAAACCAGGTGCACCAACGTGCGCTCAGTCCCCTGCAGCACGCCCTCTCTCCTTTTCGGTCCCTGATGAAGGAGAGGAGTTAGAGGGAGGCGCCAACCCCTGAGCTCGGGGCAAGAGGTGAGTAACACTCCTGAGAGCGAGCGGTCTTAACAGATACAACACGCCGATCACGACGCGTGTTTCTCAGATGACTCAAAGGCAACGCAGCTGCCAATTATGGCTACTCCGTGAGAACTTTTAATTTGACTGCAGTGAGGTTTGGGGTTTTTTTTTTTTTAATAAGCCGGGGTTGCATGGCCCACGCTTTAAAAAAAAAAACAACCCACCACCAAACCCAACCCCCCTCCGGTTCCCTCGCGCGCCGCG